GATATGGCACAATAAGATTACCATCTTTTTCGTTCACTGCAACACCATGTTAATGGGAAAACGAATGCAAATGTGGAAGGTGTTAAAGAGGACATCGACATGTTTCTTGCTTCAAAGCAAAGTGATTTATTTTATCAGGGCATTAACAACTTGTTTGTAAGATGGAAAAGCATCATCGATAAGAAGGGAGAGTATTTCATTTAATAAATGTTTTGTTTTGATATATAAGTTGTTTGGATTTTTTCATCTAAAAAAAGCGACATTAATGTCTTGATGACCTAATATTAATCGTGAAACTTGTTAATAAGTGGAAAATATACAACTTTGTTATTACAGGTTAGAAAAGGGAATGAAATTAATCAAAGGGAGTATTTATTTTAGATCAACCTAATTTCACAATTTACATTACTTAAGATATTAAGAGTTTCATGCTCTACAGATTGAGCCAGCTGTACCAGTGTTCATATCACACACACATATCTACACTAAGCTGCTGGGTGAATAACCATACTTTCATTTGGCATCTGGCTGTGGCAAGTCTATTATATTACCAAGTTTGGTCGTTTATGAACATTTCTGCTTTAGATATGTTGTAATAAGTTGACAGATAGTGACCATCATATAGTTTTTACACATTAGTTATGTAAACATAAGAATCCACTTGTTAGTATTAAAATAATATTTGTTTAAATACAGGATACTGAAAAATTGTGCCTAACTTTTATATGTTTGAATACAGGACAATGAACCCGACCTGTTTTACTCTGTGCCTTGGGCACATGGCACCTTGGGATTTCTACTTTCAGCTGAAATTCGTATCATTCCAGCTAAAAAGTTTGTGCACCTCCAGTACACTCCAACTTATACCCTTGATGATTTTATTAAAAAGTTTACTTACGAAAGTACCAGGAAAGACCCCCATCAGTTTGTTGAAGCTTTAGCATTTGGGCCGGACAGAAGTGTCCTTATGGTGGCTGACATGACGGACCAACCTGACCCAAAGAAGGTAGTGCACTGGGAACAAAAAAAAACTATGTTGCCAGACAAAATAAGGTTGTAACATTATAAAGTACCATTCTATTCATAATAATACTGATTAGGATACAAAGAGAACAAGAATTAGTATCTTGTAACCTTCAATTAATACAAATCTGCGCTGTATATATATATATATATATATATATATATATATATATA